TCATAATGAATTCATTAGTAGGATATGTTATATCAATGCATTCCCATTTTCCAGTCATCATTAGCTGGGATTCTGTGTCTTTCTTTGATGAGGATGTTGTGTCCATTGGCCAAATTATTTTCAGTGGTACAAATCAAGTGGAAAGTGTTACAGGTATCCTATGTGAATTGAATCTTATTTCAGTCTAGTTCTTCAGTAGCAAGTTCTGAAGGTGTTAATTAGTTCACTCTATTACATTTTGAAAGAAAGAGGGAGAAAATGAGATACTAGTTTAAATGCAATTAAGTTAGACAAGAATGTAAGATGAAGCAGGCCAGAGACACCTTTGTTTTCTAAATGTTTGTGGACAGAATTTTTGTCGTGTTTTAAATCTTGCAAGAACGAGAAATGAATGAGAGCAGAGTTATTATGTCTTGATTAAAATCTGTGTGGGTTGATTATGTTTTAATTTGAAAATGCCTTATCAGAGTGCTAGGACGCAGCATTCTTGTTGCAGAGAATCACTGCAATAGTTCTTGCTGGAACTCTGCATACTGCTCAAATTCATGATTTTAATCTATCTCCAGGGGTGCCTTGTCTGATTTTTTTTCCTTGTTGGCAGTGGTGGTTTTCAGCTGTTGTGTAGCAGTGTTTATTACCTACTACAGTTAAAAGTCAATCTAGGCTGCATTCAGGTGAGGGTCTTGTTTTTACATGTGAGATTTTCAACATATTCAGTGCAGGCTAATTTTAGGTGGCAGTGGAAGGAGCAGCCCTACTGTCCTTCCCCTCTGCAGCCACGCGTCCTTCATGGCTCGCTTGTGTGTACTTGTGTCTGACAGTTGTGAGATAAGTGCAGGGATGATGACAAGGAGTTGCCTGTGGAGCCAGGGGTGTCTTCTGGAAGCTGAAACTTTCAACCATGGATCATCCATTTTATCAGCATTGGTGGTTAGGTCATGTCAGGTGTGGCAGGGCACAATAACCAGAGGCAGGAGCATGGACTTTGCTGCATTGATTGAAATGTTGATCTGTAGCTAGCCTTTTTGTTTTCATTTTTGCTCGTCTTCTCTTATCGTATGCTCTCTGAAATAAATGTATTTACAGGCATATTTAATGCTAATTCTCCTTGCTTTCTTAGAATTCAGAATGGGGCAATCTGGATGTAAGACAGATGTGTCAGCTCCCTGGTCATAGCTTTGAGACTTACTGAGCACTTCAGGAAAGCAAACACGTTCTTTGCTTCTTTACAAACACTAAGAAAAAAATAAAAAAAAAACAAAAAAAAACAACACTGAATTGTTTTTTCCAAGTTATGTTGATGGAGATGTAGAATTGAGTGTTACAAGATCATTGTCAACTTTGTGTTGCATAGTACTTACCGATCTCGCCCACTGATGTCAGTGTGATGGGCTGATTGTCACGGCACTGAATAGATGAAAATCTCCAAAGAGGAAGAGCTGAGATCTCAGAAAGGAATTAATAGAGTTGCTATGCCTTCCTCTGCTAAGTCCCACAGTCACATTAAGAGCTCTAGCCATCATTAAGGACAGGTATTTGACCAAGCTGATACAAATTCAGAGTCTGCAGTTGCAACTGTTATCCCTTTTAATAATCTTACTTGGTGTGGTAGTTACCGGGCGCTCTGTTCCCCACACACCAGTAAATCACTTCCTTGCTACTTCATGGTCCTGTGCAGAATGTAGTATGTTGAGTGACAGAAAATACCCGATTCTGCCTGATCGTGTGAATTTCTGAGGATTTTAAGCCCTGCAAATTGTGCTAAAGGCCATGTGGTATTTTTAACCAGGAGGAGTGTACCTAACAGCTTCACTGTGAAGACCCCCTGGTGCCTGTGCCTAGCCAAGGGGAGAATTTCATACAGGGAAGGAGTGATTGCAGGAGCACCCAGCTGCCTGTGGTGATAGTACTGGCTTCTGCTGCCTTAAAATGCTATGAAGCCATAAGCTGCTTTCTTTTACCCAGTACAGACATCCTCATTCGTATGGAGGCCTCATCTCTTACAAGACATGTTCATTATTTGTTTTTCTTTTTCCTTGTGGCTTGTAGAAAATCTCGTCTGTACAGAGAAGTGATGCTAGGAAGAGCGGTCACTCTGGTGAGCAGAATTGATCCCTCAGTTGTAAAAGGTTCAAATGCTGCCGTCAGAAGCAATCAGGTCAGCATTCAAGAAAGTTGATGACTTTTTTCCCCTTTTCTTCTGCTCTTCTGTAATGCTGGAGGGAGCAGCCACGTTTTCTGCTAGTTAGAGTCTATGCCCAAGCCATCAGAGAGCTACAAGAAATACCCTTTGGTCTTCAAAATTGATTTCTTCCTATTTTTACTTTCTTTTAAGCAGGGCAGTTGAACTGCTCCTTTGTTCTTCGTGCCAACTTCTGACACGTTAGTAGTGTATTTTTTCCTCCTCTTCCACGTCTCTTGGGATTTTTGATGTTTATCAGAACTATATTGTTAATCTCAGCCTTGTGTTTTATGTTGGGTAAGCAGGTTTAAGACGTAATGCCAAGTGCTGCATGGAGACCGTGGCATTTTAACTGTAGACACATAACATGCTTTCCAGCCAGAAGAAGCTGACCTATTGTTTAGACAATTGCATTTCACAGACCTTTCAGATCCATTCACGGTAGAGAAGTAAACGAGACAATGAACTTGAAATCATTTTCTAAACCACTGTGGATGTTACATTCATCTCTATAGCAACTACATAAATAGATCTAGCCTGGAGATTAATTTGAGGATATTTTTAATGTCTCTTTAAATTCAGGTTTCTTGCTGCAACTTGAAGGAGTGTATTTCTTCAGCCCTTCAGCTTGAGGAGTGCTATTGGTTGTTAAATTGAACTGTCTTTTGAATGTGATAAGTGAATACACTGTGCGATATTTTTAATATATATGCTAGAATTGGGAAGATCTGTGTGAGCAGATAACTCCTGCTAGCACTGATGGTACAGTGTTGAAATGTCTGCACATTAGCTGTCTGGAGCATCAGTCAGCCCTTTTGGGGAGTCTGTAGCCAAAAGTGAAGCTATTCTTCCCACATCCTTATGCTCATGAGCATGAGAAATGAGATTGTGCCTTGCTTCTGGCTACGCATCTATACTCCAGAGATCTTCAGAAGTCAAATTTTACAAAAATTTGCCAAGAGTAATCTTTTTAATCTCACTTAATGTGCATCAGCTTGTAGTAAAAAGACATTTCTAGGGATGCAACCGTTTGCCTAAAGAAACAGGGTTTGAATAAGTGAAAATGCGGTCTACATAGGAAAAAAACACCTAGTTTATGTAATTATTTCTGTTCTTAGCCAGGTGGTGAGCACTAATAATGGTCAAAAAGAGCTGAGCTGCAGAAACTAATGTTTCACTTTGTCCTTACAAAATTCTGTAGAGATTTGTAGTTTCTGTAACGTTTTTTTTTTCCTTTTTTTTTTTTTTTCCCCTCTGTTATACCAATGGTTTTGATTGTGGTGGGAGTAGGGAAAGGAGAAGGACTGGGAAGAGGCATGCATCAGCAGGATATGCCAAGTAGTTTAGCCTCAAAATGAGATTTTTTCCATTGAATGTTTGTAATGTGAGGAAGTGGGGAGTTTATATCCAAGTCTTACGTTTTCTGACACTGTGGTATAGGGAATAATCTGTCTGATAATGGGGAAAATTTCTAACATATAGCATTCCAATTTCTATTAGATTTATACGTCAAAAATGTGGTGCGTGTGGACACTCGGTATACTAGCTTGAGAGACAGTTGATCACTGGTTAATACATTTGGTTTTGTTGCTGCATCATCAGCATAATCATATACAGCAAGTTCAGTTCAGTATTAAAAATGAGAACGCTTAGGAGTCACATCTGTTAAATCCTCTTGCTTTTACACTGAGTTGATGCCGAAGGCACCTTTATAAACATGTCTATAAAACACTTCTTATGAAAGAATCCACTGAAGTCAGAAAATTGGAAGGTTGTGGCAAAGAATAATAAAAATAATTCAAACCAGAGACAGAAGAAGAACTTATGCTTCAGAGATAAACACATATTTTTTCATGGAGTTAGCTTATGAGATTAGTATTAGTATTGCTAGGCTTGCTTTCTTACTGCTTTTTTGTTTACATGCTGCTAAAGAACGAGTTCTTTATATACATACATATTTTAAGGGGTATTGTTAAGCTTGTGTAACTTTAATCATAATTGGTTGAATTTATAGCACATTTGTAGGTGTAATAAATGGGATTGGTTTTATTAGGTACCAAATATGTAAGCATGCTTAATGACAGCATATTAAGTATTTGCCATTCTTACTTTGGTTATTCAACTTTTTAAATTTTTTGTGTTTTTGCAGTGTAGATAGGTTATTTTTCTAAATAATTTCCATGTTTATATGAAAGATACATATTTCAACAAAAATTGTGTTATACTTTGTAGTAAACATTTTTTCACCTTTATTTGAGGTCCTCAAATACATTGTCTCAGTCTGCAAGTTGTATTTACAAATTACTTTTAAAGTAAAATTTGACTAAAACATCTTTTTCTCTTGTTTTTATCTGTCCAGTCAAAGATTATCACAGGGTATATTTCTTTTTTTCTCTTCAGAAAAAAAGGAAAAACTAGTTACACATCAGGTACAGTTATAAAACCCTTGGTTCAAATAATTTTGCTTGCTTTCTTCTTCTTCCTCTGTATGATGAATTTTGATTCTGCTTAGCAATAGTATCAATGACCAATTTTAACCACCACAAAGGATTGATTTTTGTCATTGCTAACCCAGCGTTTAAATAGTCAGGAGAATTTATTACATGATACTTTAAGCTCCCTCTAACATCAAGTTATAGATAGCAAATATATTAATTTTTGAAACAGACCTAGCCCTTGTGGACATGCTTTGAAAAGGTTCGATTCAGACAAAGCAAATGCTGAAATGCAAACCACTGTTTGTTATTTTGACGCTTGTGTATTGCTGATGTCATTCCAGAAAGTTACGTAAGACTGTGTTTTCCATTTTTGCTGACAGGTGATAAATCCAATGGGATGGGATGCATTTGGTTTACCAGCAGAAAATGCTGCAGTTGAGCATGGTCTTCACCCTGCAAGCTGGACAGAAAGGTAATTTGTAATGAATAAAAGTAGTATGAATACCTCTCCTGTGGACCCCATAAACAAAGAAAACAACACAAAAACAGTGTAGAAGAAAGACAATATGGAAAGAACGAGGGTTATTTGCTGACGTTTTGCGGAACTGTGCAGGTGGTTCAGTTTCATAAACTTAATCTCTCAAGATGATTTTCAGGGCTTCCCTAAAAGTGATGTTCCCCAAACACCCCGTTGGGTGAGTAAGAAATAAATCAGAGTTCTCTTAACATGAGATAGATCGTAGCCTAGAATATGCACTTGAGAAAGAACAATGTGGCTAGGATTACTAGCAATTTTCAGTACCATGAGGAAAAGGACGAAGAGCATTTTTCATTTAAGGCTGGGTGTTTGAAAGCAATAAACAGCCAATCTTGCTGAGGATTTTGGTGAAAAGTTAGGGCTTTAGGCCTCAGAATTGGGTTTTGTGTTCTTCTAACATGGCTTATAATGAGTAGAAAGTTACATAAGTAAACATTAATTTCTACACATGACTCAGAAACCAGTCTTCTAAGTAATCTTCTGTTCTGGGAGCAATAATCTAGCTGTGGTACCTTTTTGGACCTTGTCGTTTAACCCAACAGACAGCTAAACGCTACACAGCTGTTTGCTCACTCTTCCACCACAGAGGGATGGTGGGAAAAGTGAAGGGAGAAGTTTAAGAACTTCTGGCTTGAGATACTGACAGGTTAATAAGAAAAAAAAATAAAAAGGAAAGAAAAATAAATAAAAAAGAATGCACACAGCAAGTGATGCACAATGCCACTGCTCACCAGCTGGTGACTGATGCCCAGCCATACCTCGCGCAGTGTGCCCAAGTACCCTAAGGTACTCTTAGGCTGCACTTGCAGGAGGCCAGTAGCACCTTCCAGGGATGCTGCAGGATGCCAGGCCCGGTTCTGCAGCTGGCAGGCATTCTCTGCTGCCGGGCTTTTAGGAGACTTGGGATGTCAGCCTTTTTTTCCAGGCAGGCCAGGTCACCTTCTGTCTGCTCCCGCCCCCGACACCTTCCCACTCCCATGTTGACTTCCCATCCCCCAAATGACTTCTCACCCCTAAGTCTCACTCACGGACCCGCCACCCACAGCCATTCCCCATCAGGACCAGACATCCCCAAACCAATTCATGGCGGGGACAGCAGGGGAGGGCTGTGGCCAGCCCCCTTCCCCCCCCTCAACCCCCCTCCTGCCGAGCGATGCGGGAAGAAGTGCAGGCAGAGGCTTTGCAGGGTGGAAGAGTGGTAATTTATTGTTCCTGGGGGAATCGTGGCTGCCACCCCCAGCCCGTCCCCAGGCGAGGCCCGGCCGCCTGCTCAGGCGGGGGGCCCGTCCTGCCGGCCCGCGTGGTCCCCGCTTCCCGGCTCCTCCTGCCGCACCCTGTGCAGCCAGGATGTGTCCCCGACTTCGGCGTCCTGCGGGGAGCTTGGCAGTCTGCGCCCGACCTGCCCCGCGTGCCAGGAGAAGCTTCTCTCCAGTCTGCGCCCCGTGGAGGGGCTGCGCGCCCTGCGCCGGGGCGAGACGCTGCGGGAGCGGTAGTTGGAGGGGCTCCTCCCCCGCTGCCCCCTCTGCTGCTGCTGCTGCTGCCGCCGCCCCAGCCGCTCATTCCGCTGGAACCTTCCAGCGGGGTCTTCGGGCCAGGCGCACCACTGCTAACGATGGGCCCGCGGCACATCGGGCAGGTGTCCCTTCCCTCTGCCCAGAGGTGGATGCACTCCAGGCAAAAGGAGTGCCTGCAGGGGTCCACACGAGCTGCGCTGGACAGCGGGCCCAGGCAGATGGGGCACTCCTCGGGCTGCTCCTGCCGCCAGCTCATGGTTCCTGCAGCTGCCGCGATGTGGAACCGGTCGTCCTGTGGGGGAGGCTGCCCTGGTGCCGGGCGCTCAGCAGCTGCCCGGGGTCTTCAGCACCTCGATGTCTCTTGGGTCGCCGGCAGGAACTTGACACCTCACGTGCCACCAGCGTTGCCACCAGGAGGACTACTGCAGAGAGAAGCAGGAAGAAAATGTTGTATCAGCAAGCAGACATTCGCTTTCTAGGTTCTACCACGTTGTCTAGAGTGCTGTAGCTGTCAGCAGTCTGTGCATGGATTGCAAACACAGACTAGGCTTAGGCCAGATGAGGTACATGGATGTCTGTAGGTGTGAGAGCATTACCGAAGGCCCTTGATGGCTCGCGTGCAACAACAATGGCTTCGCGTATGCTTCTAGCACTAGCTCCGCCCGTCTCTCTCTTTCCAGCCGTGGAGACTCGAGCTCTCGCCTACCACCAGCCGGACTGGCCGCAGGCGCCCCGCGCAGGGCATTTATAGGCAGCCCCCTTCTGTGAGGCCAGAGGGGACATCACAAAGGTTTTGGGGTGCCCCTGATGGCAGCACTGACTTGATGGGAGTCTCAGGTATTTCAAGTGACACTTTATTCTTGATACCTCAGTGCCCTCTCCTTGGCCCAGTCCTGGATTCGGTCCTCTTCCAAGGTGGCTTTTCTTAATTAGCCTGATACCGCTCTCCGCTTGGCACCTGTCAGCGTGGAGCAGCCATCTCAAGTCTCACAACGTTCAGGTGACCTCTGTCAGTGCTGCCCTCAGGGACACCCCAGACCCTGCTGATGTCACCTCTGGCCTCACAGAAGGGGGCTGCCTATAAATGCCCTGCGCGGGGCGCCTGCGGCCAGTCCGGCTGGTGGTAGGCGAGAGCTCGAGTCTCCACGGCTGGAAGGAGATAGACAGGCGGAGCTGGTGCTAGAGGCATTCGCAAAGCCAATCTTTTTGTACGCAAGCCATCATCAAGGGCCTCCGGTAATGTTCTCCAATCTACAGACATCCATGTACCTCATCTGGCCTCAGCGTAGTCTTGCCAAGTATAACCGATCATAAGCATATTTGCTGCTCTAACAGCCATGTTTGCAATCCATACACAGAACAGTTACTGCTACAGCACTCTAGACAACTTGGTTGAACCTATAAAGCGAATGTCTGCTTGCTGATTCAATATTTTCTTCCTGCTTTTCTCTGCAGTTGTCCTCCTGGTGGCACGTGAGGCATCAAGTTCCTGCCAGCGACCCGCGAGACATCGAGGTGCTGAAGACCCTGGGCTGCTGCTGAGCGCCCGGCAGCAGGGCAGCCTCCGCCACAGGACGACCATCTGCACCTTGCGGAAGCTGCAGGAACCATGAGCTGGCGGCAGGAGCAGCCCGAGGAGTGCCCCATCTGCCTGGGCCCGCTGTCCAGCGCAGCTCGTGTGGACCCCTGCAGGCACTCCTTTTGCCTGGAGTGCATCCACCTCTGGGCAGAGGGAAGGGACACCTGCCCGATGTGCCGCGGGCCCATTGTTGCAGTGGTGCGCCTGGCCCGAAGACCCCGTGGAAGGTTCCAACGGAATGAGCGGCTGGGGCGGCGGCAGCAGCAGCAGCAGCAGAGGGGGCAGCGGGGGAGGAGCCCCTCCAACTACCGCTCCCGCAGCGTCTCGCCCCGGCGCAGGGCGCGCAGCCCCTCCACGGGGCGCAGACTGGAGAGAAGCTTCTCCTGGCACGCGGGGCAGGTCGGGCGCAGACTGCCAAGCTCCCCGCAGGACGCCGAAGTCGGGGACACATCCTGGCTGCACAGGGTGCGGCAGGAGGAGCCGGGAAGCGGGGACCACGCGGGCCGGCAGGACGGGCCCCCCGCCTGAGCAGGCGGCCGGGCCTCACCTGGGGACGGGCTGGGGGTGGCAGCCACGATTCCCCCAGGAACAATAAATTACCACTCTTCCACCCTGCACAGCCTCTGCCTGCACTTCTTCCCGCATCGGTCAGTGGGGAGGGGGATTGAAGGGGGCTGGCCACAGCCCTCCCCTGCTGTCCCCGCCATGAATTGGTTTGGGGATGTCTGGTCCTGATGGGGAATGGCTGTGGGTGGTGGGTCCGTGAGTGAGACTTAGGGGTGAGAAGTCATTTGGGGGATGGGAAGTCAACATGGGAGTGGGAAGGTGTTGGGGACGGGAGCAGCCCAAAAGTTTAAATTGCTCGGTTGTTGTATCGGCCTCACGTGATAAGAAGATTCAGCTCTATGCACAAAATCCAGGCTGAAGAAGGAACATGGTGCCCAAAGTAGAACTTAAGTAAGTTAGCTGAGTTTTTCAAAGACTGAAAGTGCTGAAGCAGTTAAACAATGATTGAGCATGCGCAAAACAGAAAGAAGTACAAGATGAAGAAGACGATGAGCCTTCATCAGAAAGCCCCGAAGTGCAACCACCAGAGGTTACCTGACCTGCAACAGCAGGAGGGGCAATATGATAATTAGTTCTGAGAAACCATTAGCATAAATCCTGCCTTTTCTTGTGAACTGCATAAATATGGATATCCCCGTACCGTAAATAAGTACTCCTTGTCTTGCTTAGCTGTACGTGTTGGGTGGAATTATCCCCCACATACCCAGCGTTCTTCATAAAGAATACCTACTTCCTAATTCTCCCAAAGGAGTCTTAGGAAAGTGACACTGCTTTTTGCGTTCCACCATTGATGAGGACGCATCAAGAAACTGAGGAACAACTTTCCACCTGGGAAGGTGGAAATTGGCCAGGGACAGTGGGAATATGCATGAGAAACCTAGGATTGTTTAGAGAAAACCAGGAGCACCGCAACCTCTTGGCTGTCTCAGGTGGAAGATAGAATTGAGCAGTACCTCACTTGTTACGTGGTGGCATCCTACGCCATCTTCTGTGTCAGTGGTGTTATAAGTTGCCCCCTTAATTAATTTTCAGAGCGCATTGCATTAATAATAGAAAGGAATTTATTGAGTAAGCAACAGCAAGCAAAACAGCGCTGGGCGGCCGGGGAGTCTCACTCCTCAAACGAAACTCCTTGTTTTTATAATACAAAAGACAATGAACAAACATTTGTTGTGTATTACAATCCCTCCTTTTTCTTTTAGTTACTCATTTTGTTCATTGAGTCTCGGCAATGCCTGGCTACTAAGAACTAATGTTTCCTCGATTCCTTCATT